CGCTACCGGTTCTCCAGAACTGGTCAGAACCTGCTGAATACCACCTCTGCACTTTATGTAAAAGGAAGGAATACTTTCAAGTCAAGTTTAGGAACCTATATAGACATGTCTATGAATTTTACTCATAGACAATGGCAATGTTAAAAGAACTGTTTTGCCACTGTTTATTTCTGAAATGTTCTTTTAACTCACAGTCTATAGTGCCAGGTTGGCTTGATGGTCTCTCATCCATGCACTCCAAGCTCAGCCAACCCCACATGCTCTTAACATTTTTCTCTTAACATGTTGCAATTGGTTAATTGATTGTATCCTTTATTCTGTATTGATTGTGATTTTGCAGTATTTCTCAACCTTGGCAACTTTAAGATGTGTGGAGTTCAGCTCCCAGAATTCTCCAGCTATAGTTCCATGATTTTTCACTAATTATAAAAATGTTGATATGTATATACCAGATGGGGAGAAACATTTACCAAAAAGTAAATATTACAGGGAAGCCAAGAAATGTTTGCAGCTTTGTATTGTGCAAAGTGTGATCATGTTACCTATCCTGTAACATCCCCTGATAATAAGCCCAATAGGGCTTTTGAGTGCATGGCAATAAGGCCAAGCGCTTATTTCAGAGTTCAGAAAAATATAAGACAGGGTCTTATTTTTGGGGAAACATGGTACTAGAACATTTTGGAATCTACCAACATCTGTTGACATTTCTAATTTAGCCCTCGGACTGTTAGCCATAGGACGAAAGGCACCCCTGTAGAGATTCAGCCACTTGCCAGAAATAATACATATATTATCCTCTATCACTTCAGAGCCTTTTTACAAAAATGTGAAGTTTTAGCTGATTCATCAGTGGAGTTTATTTTAACAAGAAGGATACACAATTTCGGTGCAGTTCAGATGCAAACACTTGGTTATTTAATGCTTCTTTAGTTTTGATATACTCCTATACAGAAGGCAAAAATAAAATACTGAACTTGACCAACTATTTGATCTAAAAATCATTGTGAGCTTTGTTGATGAGAATGTAAAAAAAAAAATTCAGATTATTTATTTCATTATTTACCTGTAATCAAATGTGCTTGTTATATGCCACACAACTAACCCAATAAAAGCTAGGTGACTCAGCAAGTAAATCAGTTTGATATATCGAATATTTGGTGTATCAATCTGATATTTTCCAGATATACTAATTTAGTTCTTTTGCATATCTTTTAGAGTACATAAGGATGAGAGTAAAGAGAGAAGTAATACTTTTGTGGGATTCTTCCTAAGTAACATTTTACTGGAAAACGGCTTTAGTGCACCAAGTTTTCCAATTAGGAACATTAATTTCTTTTTGTTCTAATATAACACATACTGTTCCATCCAATATGCATAATACAGACTCTTGTAACACTTCATCAGGTCTTAATATCTGGTGTCAAAAATCAGATATACGATACAAGGCCTCCTGGAATATGTACAAGAGGCTTTTGGCTCAATAAATGTAACCATATTTAGTTCTCACTGTTGTGAGGAAAACATAGAAGGCAGAATACTGTATGTGCCATCTACAGCTTCTGGAGGAAGGTGGAACATAAACTTAATAACAAATAAAATGCACGCAGCAGGAAGCAAGATACAAAATATTTCCATGCCAAAAAGGCTCACATTCAATCTGGTTTGTGCTCTGTCATGTTTCACTTCCAAAATCAAATACAAGCTATCAGGAAATCCTGTTTTCAGCTTGCCCTCCATCCAAGGGGGGCACGATGGCTGGGTGGTTAAAGTGTCATGTGATGGGTGAGCTCCCATCCTTGCCCCAGCTCCTGCCCACCTAGCAATGCAAAAGCATGCAAATGCAAGTAGATAAATAGGTATCAATTTTGTGGGAAAGGCAACAGCATTCCATGCGCCTTAGTATATAGTCATGTTGGCCAAGCATCTTTGGACAATGCTGGCTCCCTTAGCTAAGAAATGGAGTTGATCCCCACCCCTAGAGTAGGACACAACTTGACAGGGACGGACACACACACACACACACACATGTATGTGTGTGTGTGTGTGTGTATGTATGCATATATATGTGTGTGCATATATATGTGTGTGTATGTGTGTTTGTGTATATGTATGTGTGTGTATATATATGTGTGTGTGTGTGTGTATGAATATTTATTGAATAAATAAATATATTATTTATTAAAAATTGAACAGAATAAAGAGGGATATGTTTCATTGTTTGAAAGATCCTTTATAAGGGAGATGAGTGGTTAAGAAGTTTGATATTCACACATACATACATATACATATACATACACACACACAGAGAGAGTATATATGTATGTGTGTATATATGTGTGTGTAGGTTTGATATCTATATATCAAACTATATGTTAACCATCCATTTCCCTTACAGAGGAGCTGTTCAACAAGGAAACATATCCCTCTTTATTCTGTATTATTTATTTTCAAACATGTATAATGCACTTTTCACACATGCACACACACAAAATCCCAAAGGGAGTTGATTTAAATCAAAACATTCAATAACTTTTTTAAAAAAAATCCCCTCTGTTGAAAATCCTAAAGCAGCTTCAGACCCACAGCCCAAGGCAAGAATAAATGTACAGCCAAGTGACTGATGATGATTAGTTTTCTTTTTAGTGGTCAACTAATGGTTGTTCCTCTTTTGATGTAGAAATGTCCCTTCTCTTACTGCATGCTAATTCAAAAGTGCAGCTGGGGATACCAGCTTGCAAAACGTGAAGCCAATTTGGATTTTATTTCCAGTTTTCTCAGAAGGTTGCAGTTTCTTTCTCTCTCCCCTCCCCCAACATAGAGACACACAGACATTTGTATTAGGCATGCAACCAATTTGTTCTCAGAAAACAGACTGTTGTGTTTCGTTGCTGATGATGCATTCAGTTTTTAAGTGAGGCGCACCAACATGGTGCTGAATGGATAGCTCCCCTGCCTTTAACCTCTGCTCCATCTGCCTTAGCCGACTTTCTTCCCTACTTAAAAACAGCAGCATGGGTGCTAGAGTATGCTGGCAAAAGCTAAAGGACCCCCACACACCACACTATCCATTACACAATGACAAAAAAGAACTGTTCAACTTGTGATGCAATGGGCAAGGAGATGAATCAGGACAGAAAAAATAAACTCATATTAATGGTTGGAACCTAGACAATGTGGACAAAGGGATGGGATGGGATGGCTCAGTGGCTAAGATGCTGAGTTTGTTGATTGAAAGGTCGGCAGTTCAGCGGTTCGAATCCTTAGTGCCACATAATGGGGTGAGCTCCCGTAACTTGTCCCAGCTTCTGATAATCTAGCAGTTCAAAAGCACGTAAAAAATGCAACTAGAAAAATAGGGACCACCTTTGGTGGGAAGGTAACAGCGTTCCATGAGCCTTTCGCATTGTCATGCCAGCCACATGACCACAGAGACGTCTTTGGACATAGCTGGCTCTTTGGCTTTGAAATGGAGATGAGCACTGCCCCCTAGAGTCGGGAACAACAAGCACTTATGTGCGAGGGGAACCTTTACCTTTACGTTTTAGACAATGTGGATTTATAATGCTGAATGCAATTATTTAATAGAGGCTGAGTTTTCTTTTAACGTAGTGAAATATTAAAACTGACATGGAATCTGATCTCCATTCCTCCAGACACCTTCCCAAATGTGATACTGCCCAGATGTGTTGGATTAGAGTGGCCATCATTCCCAACTCTACAAGGTGGAAAGTAACATTCAAGGTTGTCCCAGGTTCTCTATAAATGGACATGGTTCTAAGAAAACCTCTATCTAAGGTCTTGAAGAGTCATTGGGGGGTTGGTTGTGTTCAAAGTTCCTCACTGAATATTCTTGTATTTTTCTTTTATTTGTGCAATTAAAACCTTTTTAGCAGCTACTATAGCATCACACACTTGCAAATAAGGAGATTAGGAAGCAACCCCCAGCATTCTAATTCTTTGTTCTGGTTTCCTTCTTCCTTGTTTTCCACTTCTACTAGACCAGTGTTTCTCAACCTTGGAAAGTTTAAGTTTCAACTTCCAGGGTTCTTAAACTTGCCAACACTGTAGTAGAGAATTTGTCTGTAACGGTGCAGCTGCTTTGGCACATGTCAGAATCTTCAAGTCAGAGCTCTTGTTTTCCATCAGGCAGTCAGAAATGATCCTGACCAAGTTGGTCAGCTCCTGATATTTTGCTGGGTGATGGGCTGAGAAAGCTTTCCTGACCTCTCCAATCCTAGATCCTGAGCCTATTCCCAGGATCTCTGGACCAATAGCTGAAGTCTATGGAAAACACAAGCCCAGATCAAAACAGGCAGAGGAGGAGGAGGAGGAGACGACACTAAGCCCTGCTAACTCCCATCCCACAAAGGCTGACCCCATGGCACAGACCCACCTATCAGTCAAGAATGAACACTTTCTCTTTCTCTCTCTTTTCTTTCTCTCTCTCTCTTCTTTCTTTCCTTTCTCTTTCTTTCCTCTTTCCTTCCTCTTCCTTTTCCTTTTTCTTTCTTTCCTTTTTCCTTTCTCTTTCTTCTTTCTTTCCTTTCTCTTTCTTTCCTCTTTCCTTCCTCTTCCTCTTTCCTCTTTCTTTCTTTCCTTTTTCCTTTCTCTTTCTTTCTTTCCTTTCTCTTTCTTTCCTTTTTCTTTCCTTTCTCTTTCTTTCCTCTTTCCCTTTCCCTTTCCTCTTTCTTTCTTTCCTTTTTCCTTTCTCTTTCCTTTCTTTCCTTTCTCTTTCTTTCCTTTTTCTTTCCTTTCTCTTTCTCTTTCTTTCCTCTTTCTCTTTCCCTTTCCTTTGTCTTTCTTTCCTTTTTCCTTTCTCTTTCTTTCTTTCTCTCTCTCTCTCTCTTTCTTTCTTCTCTCCTTCTCTCATCTCAAGAATAAAGGCTCTGGACAAGCCCCGCCCTCCCCCCCCCCCCCCCCTCCCCCTCCTGCAACCCACCAGGGACAGAAAATTGGAAGGCGAACCCAGCCCCCTCCCACCGCTGCCCCCAGCCTTCCACCTCGCAACTCGCAGCGTACGGGAACAAAGGAGAGCGTACGGGAACCCAGCGAGAAGCAGCGTGGCAAGGCGGGCGAGCGAGCGAGCGGGACGGCGGACCGAAGGGAGAGCGCGAGGGTCTCCAGCCCTATCGATCACCGGGCGACTTTCGGCTGACACCCGGGCCGTGGTGCAGGGAAGCCCCAGCCGCCTCCGCCCGAGGGGATCTCCGGCTTTTTCGGGTCGAGTCCTCGCGCCAGATCGAAAGCGCCTCCCTCCCTTCCTGCCTGCCTTCCTTCCTGCTGCGCCAATGCCCGGGATAGGGGCCGTGGGAGCTCGGTGCAGGCACCGCCCGAGGAGGCGCCCCAACCAGGCCAAGGGGAGCGGCCACCAGGCGGACGGCAGCGGGGAGACCGCCATGGACGCGGCCATCTGGATCTACCAGTTTCGCCTGATCGTGCTGGGCGATTCCACGGTGGGCAAGTCCTGCCTCTTGCATCGCTTCACCGAAGGCCGTTTCCCGGGCCCGATGCACTGCGATCCCACCGTCGGGGTGGATTTCTTCTCCCGCCTTGTGGAGATCGAGCCGGGCAAGAGGATCAAGCTGCAGCTGTGGGACACGGCGGGCCAGGAGAGGTTCAGGTACAGGCAGCCGACGCTGACCCGCCCCGCTTTTGCTTGGCATCGCCTTCCAAAAATCTCTCTCTGCTTCCCACCCCCGCTCCCACCCCAAAGCTCAGTCCGGAGGAGAAATAGTAAAACAGATTCCGCATCCTCCGGAGCATCTGAGGATGTGCAGAGTGCCACTCCCTGGCCACGCCCACTTTTGTCACTTGCGTGTCTGTGTGTGTGTGTGCGTGTGTGTGAACGCACGCACGCGCGCGCGTTCCTTCATTCGCGAGTGTGCTTGCGGCTAAACTTTTTACTCACTCTTTGAAATATGCGGGTTCGTATCTGAGCCTCTAGAATCGGGGAAATTAACTCCCGTCAAGCGTGGGATATAATTTGTGGCTTTGCAGCAAGAAACCTTTTTAAAGGAAACAAAACACTTTTTTTTTTTTCCTCTGCTGGGTAAATGAGGGTGGCTTCTGAAATGAAAAATGTGCTTTGTGGGCAGCCCGTATCTGTGATCGAATGATTTTTGCCACTGCCATCCCAAAGCCTCAGCTGTCCCCCCTCACCCCCCAAGAGTTATATTTAAACTAGCAAGCTTTGTTGTTTGCTCTGGTCCATCTTTGATCATTGGGAACCAAAGAAAACATCCAATTGGCCAATGGGAAGCATTCAAGCGATTCATCCCTGAGAAAGGCCATGCCATGGGAAATGTTAGTAGGCATTTGCTGACACAGCTTTGAAATCGATGGGTTCGCCAAGGATAAGGCAGTGGCTAGTAGTTGTTTTGGCTACAGTTGTATAATGCTCAGAGGCAATCTTAACTCTGGACACTAGTTGGCTGCAAAAGACAAGTGGAACTGAGCATCTGCAGTGGAGAGATGATGTCACACCTGACATCAGTTATGTAATTTGTACTCGTTGTGTCATGATGACATCATCACCGCTTAGAGCTGTGATCCAGCTAGCAGCTTGGAGCTGGATTCTCTAGAACAGTGATGGCAAACGGGTGCCACAGGTGGCACATCGAGCCGTATCAGTGGGCATGCGAGCGTTGCCGTAGCTCAGCTCCAGTGCGCATGTGTGCGCCGGCCAGCTGATTTTGGGGCTTTTCGGTCCCACCGGAAGTTGGGAAATGGGCTGTTTCCAGCCTCCGGAGGGCCTCCGGGGGTGTGGAGAAGGCTGTTTTCGCCCTCCCCAGGCTCCTAGAAAGCCTCTGGAGCCTGGGGAGGGTGAAAAACGGGCCTACTGGGCCCACTGTGCCATCACGTGCTAAAAGCGGGGGAGGGGCACACATGTGCAGGAGCAGGGTGCATTGAATTATGGGTGTGGGCACACACATGGGTGACCTCACCGTGCTCCCCCTGCTTTTGGCACGCGACGGTAAAAAGGTTAGCCTTCACTGCCCTAGAAGCAGGAAATCCACAAGATATGCCTGCCTGCCTGACTCATTTACTTCATGCAATGAAGCCCCAGTGGACTGAATTGCCATTTGTGAAATTAATCCTAATTTCTAACCTATTTATTAAGTTGACACACGTACAGGTTAAGTCCTCGACTTACAACCACAATTGAACTCAACATTTCTGTTGATCAACAAGATAGTTCAGTGAATTTGGCTCCATCTTACGGCCTTTCTTGCCACCATTGTTAAGTATATCTGACTTCCCCATTGATTTTGCTTGTCAGAAGTTTGCAAAAAGTGATCACGTGACCCTGGGACACTGCAACTGTCATAAACATGAAGTCAGTTGTCAGCATCTGATTTTTGATTGTGTGACCATGGGAATGCTGTAACGGTCGTAAGTGTGAAAAACAGTCATAGTAAGTCACTTTTTTCTGTGCCTTTGTAACTGAACGGCCACTAAACGAACTGTTGTAAGTTGAGGATTACCTATATCATAGACTCAACCACATGGAATGAGCTTGCACAACAGCCTAGGCTAAAAGGTAGGGGCTGGTTTGTGACTTGGTGCATTGTGTAAGCGCAACGAGGGAGAAATTGCCCATTAACCAAAAGGAAAAAGCCAGGTTATTGAATTCATTAACTCTCCAGGTAAAGTACCTGCATGTGCAGTTCTTACATATAAATAATATGCACACTTCTAATTCTTGCTGACAAAGCGACAGTGTGGTTTTGAGAGACAGATGATAAGCCGAATTAGGCTCGTGGGTTAGTTTTTCCGTTCCTGAGAAGGGCCAGCTTTTTTCCAGGTGCTTCTGTTTGTTTGGGAAATTACACCTTTGTTGCTCTTTGAGTGGCTAACAAAGGCTAAAAGCATTTGAAAACGTTTTTTTTTTTTAAAAAAAAAGGCAGATAAATAGAACTAGGCACCAAAACAGAACAACAGTGCAGTAATAAAAATACAGCAGTAGAAGATTAACAGACTGAAACAAAGCTTGGAGAGGCTCCGACTTCTTTTTAAAAACAAAACAAAACAAAAAAGAAGTTTTATGGGGCTAGAACAAATCATAGGTCATCCATCATCTTGGATGTGTGAAGCACCAGTGAGGAAAAAAAAATGTATTTGAATACATGTAAAGAATCTTTTGCTCATCATTAAGCAATTGTGACCAATCATTCACAGATCCACAAGTCCATTTTTCTTTTCCTTCCTTGATATACACACTTCAAGTGTCCTCATCGTATGACCACAATTGGGATCAAAATTTCCCCTGCTAAGTAAGGCAGCTTTAGAGTGAGTCATGCCTGATTTTTGACTCATGGTTGTTAAACAAATCATTGCAGCTATTAAGTGAATCACATGGTCATTAAGCAAACCTGCCATTTTGCGGCTTGGGTATCTCTTCCCCCACAGGGTTAGGAGGGGGAAGGGGGTCCTAGTCCCAGCTTCACCTTCCGGTGAAGATGGTGGGACACCATTTGTCTAGTCATGCCAGTCCCAGGATAATCCCTTCGGGCATTTTTGGCACCACCACGAATCGAATGAGTTCCCAGCGGCAGCCCAATTCTAAATGCTTGATGATCAGAGTGGCAGGTGTCCCCCCAATTAGCATCCCATCAACTTGTTCAAAGCATATTGGGTTAGCTAGGGGCTGCATCTGGATACCTAGCTTTTGGCAGAGGGGGAGGCAGCGAGGGATATGGCTTCACTGAGGTCAGCTTCAGTAGGGGTGGTATTCACTTACCTTTGCTACGCAAATGTAAGCACACGCGCCACCTCTGTGCGTGCGCAGAAAGGGGTGGGTTCTAATTTTTTTACTACCAGTTCTGTGGGCATGGCTTATTCTGTGGGTGTGGCTTGATGGTCATGTGACAATTCTTTAGGATTTAGCAGAGGTACTGGTCTACCAGGCTTTTAACTGCTTGCAGAGCTGTACCGGCCTACTCATTTGTTTTTGGAGGCACCGGTCTACCCATTTGTTTTTGGAGGCACCGGTTTACCCATTCCTTTTTGGAGGCACCGATCTACCCATTTGTTTTTGGAGGCACCGGTCTACCCATTTATTTTTGGAGGCACCGGTCTACTCATTTGTTTTTGGAGGCACCGGTCTACCACCACACTGCCTTTTAACACTGATCAGCTGTAGGGCGGCCCTTTGAAGCCCCGCAGCAAGAGTTTAAACAGTTTTTTTCCTTCTAGCCGATCAGCTGGGACTCAGGAGGCAGCAATAGATTGGGGGTGGGGCCAAATAAAAGGTAAGAATAACGCGGGGGAGGGGAGGGGGTAGGAGGGGAGGGGGTAGGAGGGGAGGGGGTGGGAGGGCCCAGCTCCCGAACAAAGAGAACCGGTTCGGTGACATCATATTGTCACCGCTACCGGCTTGGCCGAACCCCCACTGGCACAGAGCCTTCCGTGCATGCACAGAGCATCAAAAACGGGACGTGATGACGTCCGGACAGGTGGGCGGAGCCTCTCGCAGCCACCGCTACCGGTTCGCCCAAATTGGATAGAACCAGCTGAATACCACCACTGAGCTTCAGGGTTAACGCCTGGCTTCCCCCATTGACTTTGCTTTGCTTGCCTGAGACTGGTTGCAACTGGCGTTCAGGTGACCACAAGACATTGCAACCATTTTAAATACATGCCAGTTACCAAGTGCCTGAATTTTGATCATGTGACTGTGGGGAAAGCCGCGATGTGAGGAGTGATCATAAATCACTTTTTTCAAAGTGTCATTGTCACTTCAAATCATCACTAGTATTTTCTACTAATCGTTCCAGTGTATATCCTGAAGTTAGAAGTATCGCTGGAAATGAACATCATGGTTTAGGCCAGAGGTAGTATTCAGGAAGCTCTGACCAGTTCTGTAAAACCAGCAGCAGAAAATTTGAGTAGTTCGGAGAACTGGTAAATACCACTTCTGATTGGCAACGCCCCCATCTTGGCAGATTGGCCACTGCCTCCCGAGTCCCAGCTGATCGGGAGGAAATGGGGATTTTTCCAATAATCTTCCCCTGGAGTGGGGAGGGAATGGAGATTTACCATACCTTTCCCCTGCCACGCCCACCAAGCCACGCCCACCAAGCCATGCCACACCCACCAAGCCACACCCACAGAACCAGTAGTAAAAAAATTTGAATCCCACCACAGGTTTAGGCTAGTGCTTTGTTTTGCAGTTTGTTAGAATCCTTATTTTTTTTTAAAAAAAAAAATTAAAACTACTTTTAAAAAAACTGGTGTAGAAGTGGGACTAAGGAGCCTGAGATGCAACGGATATTCTGAGATCTAATACATTTTTATTTAATATTTGCACATGGAGAAGTTGGGAAATTAGGCGAAAGGCTAGACTGAAAGTGTCTATCCAAAAGGCTATTTTTTTTTTTTCTTAGAGGATGGTTTATTTATTCCAGCATTGCATATGATCTGGAGACACAGTTCTCCAGACTAGCTGGCATTCATATCCTAAATTACCATACATTTGCACAAGAGGGCAAGCTGGACAAGATAACAGAATTGTCTGTTTTCACTTTAATTCTATCCAGCTCTACTGGCATCCATAGAAGGTGTGTGTGTGGTGTTGTTTTTGTTAGTTGCGAAGTCGTGTCCGACCCATCGTGACCCCATGGACAAGGTTCCTCCAGGCCTCCCTGTCTTCTACCATCCTCTGGAGTCCATTTAAGCTCACGCCGACTGCTTCAGTGACTCCATCCAGCCACCTCATTGTCTGTCGTCCCGTTCTTCTTTTGCCCTCAATCTTTCCCAGCATCCCTTGGAAGAAATAATAAAAAAATGTTTAGACTGTGCAGAAATGAATAGATTAACCTTGATGATTAAAGATAAGGAGGAATCAGAATATTTTAAAACATGGAATTATTTTTATTGTTGGTTGGAAAAGAGATATAAATGATTGATATTATAATTGTGTATAAATGATGACTATAATATTGATTTAGAAATGAAATGTTAGAATAGTTTGGATGAATGTGAAGATAGAAGAAACCCATGGAAGATGGAAAAGAAGCCTAGAAGATAACACCAAGGCATCACAAAGAAGGGAGGATTGATGTATTAAATGTTTGTTTGTCTTAAAAAAAAAAAAGTATTGTAAAAAAAAATCTTCTCCAGCATTAGGCTCTTCTCCAGTGAATCCTTCCTTCTCATTAGGTGGCCAAAGTATTTGAGTTTCAAATACTTCAGGATCTGGCCTTCTAAAGAGCAGTCAGGGTTGATCTCCTCTAGGACTGACCAGTTTGATTGCCTTGCAGTCCAAGGGACTCGCAGGACTCTTCTCCAGCACCATAGTTCAAAGGCCTCGATTCTTTGGCACTCAGCCTTTCTGTCCAGCTATGAAAGCCTGTCCAGCTTTCATAACCATACATTGCAACTGGGAAAACCATAGCCTTGACTATGCGCACTTTCGTTGGCAGGGTGATGTCTATGCTTTTTATTATGCTGTCTAAATTTGCTACAGCTTTCCTCCCCAGGAACATAGGAGCCTAGGAGTGTGACATTATTGCACATTTCAGCACTGATACAATTCAAGGCCAAACTTGTAGGGACATGTAGGGAAGGAACAGAGTATGCTTTTATTATTTTGAAAAAAGCAACATGACCCTGCAGATACTTACTGTCCCCCTTCCCTTCCCATTGCTTTTGAAATGTACACATTAAAGTGTAATATTCCTGCTGAGCTTGTCTCTCCCTTTTAATTTTACAGGTCAATCACCCGTTCCTATTACCGGAATTCAGTAGGCGGCTTGCTGGTGTTTGATATCACAAACAGGTCTTCTTTTGAACACGTCTATGATTGGTTGGATGAAGCAAAAATGCATGTTCAGCCGTTCCAGATTATCTTTATCTTGGTGGGACACAAATGCGACTTGGAATCAGAGCGCCAGGTTACAAGACAGGAAGCTGAAGAATTAGCATCTGCCTGCGGCATGAAATACATAGAAACATCTGCCAAGGAAGCCATAAACGTTGAAGAGTCATTCACTATTCTCACTAAGGACATATACGAACTTGTGAAAAAAGGAGAGATTTCAATACAGGATGGATGGGAAGGGGTGAAGAGTGGTTTCGTTCCAAATGTTGTACATTCCTCAGAGGAAGCTACCACACTGGGAGAGCAATGCCCTTGCTAAAAAAAAAAAATTGCATGCCATACAACTTAACGAAGGGTTGGAGAATAAGGCAACCGTTTGCAAAAGATCATTTTAAAAGATGCATTAGAGCAGAAATAAGTGATCCGTGGCTTCTGAGATGCTTAGCGCTCCTAAAATACTTACGTGTGGCTTGCAGGATTCTATAAGGATCATAAGAATCAACAGCGTTTGCTTAAAAAGCAAAGCAAGCTTCTAATAGTTAATTATGGGAGTCAGCCAAGTCGGTGGAGGCAAAAGTGCAATTTTTTTAAAAAAAGGAAAAATTCTTTTCCTGTTTTCATCTTTTGCAACTTTTTGAAAGACGTGTATAACTATTTTCTACAAGGCCGACTTAGGTTTATTTATCATTTGTTGCTAACAAGGGTTTTTTTTTTTTCATATGTTGTAACTATGAATATTGTCAAGAAAAGTGAAGCATGGTCATCACGTGTCCTTCACAATCACCATGTGCATGAAATAGGATGTATTAATCATACGAATTCTCCATATTTTTTTCACTGTGGACCTCAGGGGTACCCATTCATTTATCTATGGTTAACTTTCCACAAAAGAAGCTCCAGTCCAGGAGGGGACAACCCAGGGGTGAAATCTACTTACCTTCCCAACAGGTTCGGAAGTGCACACGCCCGTGTGTCACATGCAGTGGTGGGTTCCTCCCGATTCGGTCCGGTTCGGCCGAGCCGGTAGTGGTGACGATATGATGTCACCGAACCGGTTCTCCCCCCCCCGCCCTCCCAACCCCCCCACCCACGTTATTCTTACCTTTTATTTGGTCCCACCCCCAATCTATTGCTGCCTCCTGAGTCCCAGCTGATGACTAGAGGGGAAAAAACTGTTTAAACTCTTGCCATGGGGCTTCAAAGGGCCGTCCTACAGCTGATCAGTGTTAAAATCAAACAAATGAGTCGGGTCATAAGTGCGAGGACTGGTCATAAGTGCGAGGACCTTCCAGAAATGACTCTGACCAGCTAGCCACGCCCACCTAGTCACATGACCTCCAAGCCACACCCACAAAATAAGCCACGCCCACAGAACCGGTAGTAAAAAAATTTAGAACCCACCCCTGGTCACATGCGCATGCAGACCCTCTTGTGAATGTGCAAACCCTTCTGCGCATGCGCAGAGGCTAAAAAACAGGTTATTTCCTGGTTAAAACCAGGAAGTAATGACAACCGGGTGGGTGGGCGGAGCCTTGCACTGCCATCGCTACCGGTTCAGCCGAACCCAGCCGAACTGGGAGCATTTCACCCCTGGGACAACCCTTTGGGAAAGAAGGCACTGAACAACCTGGTGAGATCGGTGGTGGGGCAAGATACAGTAATTCATTCACATTCGCTTAGGCCGTCCCAAAGGTGCTTTTTCAGGAGGCAACTGAACTTTCTTGGGGTTGTGTTTTTTTTTTTTTTGAAGACATTTCACTTCTCATCCGAAGAAGCTTCTTCAGCTCTGACAGGATAGTGGGGATAGTACTACTCGGGTGACCCTGAGGATACAGATAAATCTCCAAGGGCTTCAACGACCCTCTAAAAGGATGCAAATGACCAGCTGTCTGCAAGGAATATAAATCTTTCCATTCCCCACTATCCTATAAGAGCTGAAGAAGCTTCTTGGATGAGAAGCGAAATATCTTCAAAAGAAAAACCAAGGAAGTCCAGTTGCCTCCTGATAAAGCACCTTTGGGTCAACCTGGATGACTGAGAATCTCTACAGACATTTGCTTGTGCTCTTACACTCATTCTTCCTCCAATTGTGAGAAGTATCTCACACCAAATGTCTTTCCAAGGGATGGATGAAAAAACTTTTAACCATTTTGATGGGGTTACCGAGTTAAAAGAAAGTAAAAATCTCACTCCCAAGTTAAAGATCCCTCTGAAGATTATTCTGGGAAATAATGGTGGGATGCCCACATATTATCAGCATAATTAACTGAGGGCCCATTTCATCTCAATGGGATTGGTTTGTTCAACTCATTCCAACTGAAGAAACCTTCTTCAGATCTGTGAAGATTCTCAGTCATCCAGGTCAAGGTGCTTTTTTCTTCAAAAGGCACCTGGCCTGTTTATTTTTTCCTTGAGGAAGAAGAAGAAAATGTTTTGGTTCTCAGCAGAGAAGCAAAACATTTCCCCCGTCAGAACTGATGAAGCTTCTTGGATGAGAAGCGAAATGTTTTCTTCACTTTCTTCAAGGGAAAAAAAAACAACAGTCCTTGGCTTTTGAAGAAAAAAGCATCTTTGAGAGTTCTTCAGATCCTGTCTGCCAAAGAATTTTGGCTGGCATGGTCTAAGAGGAGAGTCTTTTGGACTGTGCCTCCCCCCACCCTTTGGAATATTGTCCCATCGGTCAGCCCCCATGCTTTGGCCTTCCAGAAGACCCTTGTAACCTGACTCTGCTGGATGCCCTAGGGCCCTGATAGGGATGCTCAATGCTGGGGGTGCCTGGACAGGATCAAAAGAAGGTCCCCATGTCACCTGTCCTCTTGATTTTTTTTTTTTTGGTCTTGATTTAATGTTTCTTAATTTGTAATTCTTTTGTATTATCTGTTTATTATGCTGTAAACCACCCAGAGTCACTGCTGCAGTGAGATGGGTGGCATATATGTTTAAGAAATAAATGAAATCAATAAATAATTGCAGCAGACCCAGAGGAGGAGGAGGAAGAGGAAGGACAATGTAAAAGTGGTAGCCATGATAGGAACATATGCAAGATATCATAGAACTAAGGTCAGTGGCGGGATTCAGCCAGTTTGGGCCAGTTTGGGCAAACCAGTTGTTAAATTGCTGGCTCACCCCACCCCTTCCCGCCCCGCCCCTTCCAGGAGTTCCAACTTGCCCCATTTTGGTTCCCAGGTAAGTGCAGGGAGGCCTACTAGACCCAAAATGGGGCATGGTGGGGGCAGCACCCCCCCACAGCCCATTTTTGTTCCCAGGGGGGTGCAGGAGGCTGAGTGCTGCCTATCACACCCCATGGCCACCCCCAACCAGTCATTAGTTGTTAAATTATTGAATCCCACCCACTGACTAAGGTTGTCAAAACTTCATTAGATATCCTCTAGAGCAAGGGTCTCTAACCTTGGCAACTTTAAGACTTGTGGACTCAGCCAGCAAAGCTGGCTGAGGAATTCTGGGAGTTGAAGTCCACAAGTCTTAAAGTTGCCAAGGTTAGAGACCCTTGCTCTAGAGCAGAGTTCTTCAACCTTTCTGGCTTCAGGGAGGGGTGGAGGGGTTGGTTCCACGTGAACGGCGGGCAAGCACACGTGCAGCTCCATTTGCGTGAGCAGCAGGCAAGCATGCATGCCACCTCCCCAGATGGAGCACACACACACACACACACACGGCCACTGCTTGCACAAGTGGGAATGCACAAGAGTGCACTCGTCAGCAACTTCAGTGGCCCAGTTCCGAACAGCTCACGACCCGGTAGTGGGCCACAGCCCGGGGTTGGTGTGTCCAATCTTGGCAACTTTTAAGACTTGTAGACTTCAATATGGCTGGCTGGGGGATTCTGGGAACTTGAAGTCCACAAGTCTTAAAGTTGTCAAGGTTGGACACCCCTGCTCTAGAGAATCTGAAATAAAAGCTTTAGAGTGCCAACTAAGATTTGGAGGGAACTTAATGTTATGATCCCTTGCCTTAAATGTTGGTGTCAGGGCTCCAACGAATGCCCTAATTAACTCATGAGCCTCGAGCCAAGTTTCAAAAGAAATCCAGTTATTTATTAGGAGCAATATGGCAGCTTCCCAAGTGTAGTCAACTCTGCTGCACGTAATTTACGGCTCAACTATGACCCTATTCCCCCTCCTCTCAGGCTGTGTCATAAATCACATTCTCCAACGAGGCACTTTCGCGGGTGGCTGCTAAACTGCTCCGACAGATCTCCCCCCCCACATTTCTGCCCATGACAACTCAAGAGCAGACTAGAAATGCTTTGCAAGTTGACATTTGACATCTAGTGAGAGCCAGGAAGCATGTGTTTCCCACAGTAGCCCCTGCCCTGGGGAACGCCTTTCCCCTTGAGATCTAACAGGATCCACTTTCTTAACCGTAAAGAGGTAGCTTGACCCCAGGCACTATGATAGTAATAAATGAAAATAACTGATTGGTGATGAAATAAGGGAGAAACCAAGGCTGCCCCCTGCTGCACTCCACATTACTAAAGGGCTGCCTAATCCCACATTTTAAATTTTTTTTTGAGGTAACATGAAACATATAAGCCCAAAGAAGGTCCATGCTGCTCCAAATTCTTTCTTCCCCCCAGAATGCTGATTATAATGCAGGCTGCTACAACAAATTATGCTCCAGATGTATTGGAACTACAGCTTCCAAACACCGAGCCAGGATGGACAAGTTGGGACCCCCTCCTCGACTTCCAAAGCCTGTAAGCTCAAATGCCAAACCTTCTGTAGATTAACTGTATACTACAAAACTAGACATTTTATCAGTTGCTGCATATAAAGATTGGAGAAGTCAGTCCTTTATCTGACAGTGGCTCTGCTTCACCTGAAGAACATCAGAGGTTGTTATGGGAGGATATTATTAGCCAAATACCCAACAAAGGTATTTAAAGAGGAAACTGGACTTTCAGAGCTAAAGAAGCTTCTTGGGTGAGAAGCAAAACATCTTCAAAGAAAAACAAGAAAATCCAGTTGCCTTTGGGGGTGGGGGGGGGGAAGCACCTTTGGGATCCAACAAGCAAGCAATCATCTTAAATAAGTCAAAACTTGATAAGCAGTGAGCTATATTCTACAATACTCTTGCTTATAAATGACTGCTTCTTAAGAGTTTATATAAAACTGAAATGAACTATGACCCCTGAGGACATGGACAGGATTCTGGGTAGACTGAACGCGACCACTTGTTTATTGGACCCGTGTCCCTCCTGGTTAGTGCTGGCTTCTCGGGAGGTGACACGAGGCTGGTTCCAGGGGATTATAAATGCTTCGTTGGGTGAGGGTGTCTTTCCTGCCGCCTTAAAAGAGGCGGTGGTGAGGCCTCTCCTCAAGAAGCCTTCCCTGGACCCGGCAATGTTGGTAAATTATCGTCCGGTCTCCAACCTTCGTTTTGTGGCGAAGGTTGTTGAGAGTGTGGTTGCGCAACAGCTCCCCCAGCACCTGGATGAAACGACGTATCTGGAGCCGTTCCAGTCGGGCTTCAGGCCCGGGTACAGCACGGAAACGGCATTGGTCGCGTTGGTTGATGATCTCTGGAGGGCTCGGGACAGGGGGTGCTCCTCTGTCCTGGTCCTGTTAGATCTCTCAGCGGCTTTTGATACCATCGACCATGGTATCATGCTGCACCGGTTGGAAGAGTTAGGGGTGGGAGGCACTGTGTTGCGGTGGTTCTCCTCCTTTCTCTCTGACCGGTCGCAGTCTGTGTTGACAGGGGGACAGAGGTCAACCCCGAGGCCCCTCATATGTGGGGTGCCGCAAGGGTCGGTCCTCTCGCCTCTCCTGTTCAACATTTATGTGAAGCCGCTGGG